TTCTAAGAAGTGGTGGTCAAGTGACGTAGAGAGTGAATGGAGAGAAGGAGCACAGGTAGTGAGAACAAAGCAGGGAATCAGAGAAAACTGATTTTTGCATTCATGTGACAAATTATATGTTTGTCAAGTATTTTATTTACTAGGTTAACCAAAAGCAAACCAACATTCTGTCTTTAGGTCTTGACAGTTTCTAGTTGATTTCCCAGAATTTTTGACACATCACTATATGTGTATACTGGTAATGCAATAAATAATTACATATACTGTGAAATAGGGTGTTATCCATATAGCCCACTGCTAATCAATAGTGTTGACAACCAGAGACAGATAAACAAAGTAAACATTTTGCGGTGAATGCAGTTTCTATAGCTCTGGATTAGAAACTGAAACCAAAGATGCTTGCACTGAGATCTGAGAGAATTTTTGTTGGTTTTACATAAGAAAGTTATGTCACCCATCTGTCAGTTTTTGTTTCTAATGACATTTGCATAGTTCCTTTATTGTCATAATAATCATCCAGAATTTTAGTAGACTGTTCGCATCCCATGATGGTCTAAAGGCTGCTTCATAAATGTTCAATAAAACACTTTATGGCATTAGAATTGTTTATATCAGCACAAAACATTAGCTATCAAAAGCTTCAGCCTAATTTATGCAAAACTGTCTCTACTGGCTTTCAAAACCCCTCATTCAATTAAGTCTAGAAGGGTTTTAAATGACTTAACATTAAAATGAAAACTCCTGCTGGGAATATTATCCACTTTTAATTCAACCTCACTCCCACATCCCAGTAACTCAGATGTGTCTGGGCTGCCACACAATGTGATTTAGAGGCTCAGCATGTTACAGAACAATTACTTTCTTCAGTAGGTTACAACTCACTGTGACCAGACATTGTGCTGAGGCCTCCAGATATATTGGAGAAAGTCCCCACACTCAAGGCAACACAAAGTGGTGTAAATTACAATATCAAACTTGATTCACAGTGCTGCTCTCAAGGGGAAAAGTTGCTGGTGCAAATCGCACAGTGTGTCTCGTAGCAGCTGAACAATAACCTAAGCAAATAAAGCAACACACACACACACACACACACACACACACACACACACACACACACACACACACACACACACACACACACACACACACACACACACACACACACACACACACACACACACACACACACACACACACACACACACACACACACACACACACACACACACACACACACACACACACACACACTTTACTGACCCCGCCTTAGAACAGCAGCGTCCGTGGCAAGACAAAAGCTTGAAAGCCCAGCCTTGTTAACTGATTCCTGAGAGCCAATATAAGGTTACAACCACAGATGAGATGGACTTAAGATATTCAGCACATGTGGGTGTGTACATGAGTGCGTGCGAGACAGCATTTCAGTCCTGGGGGTCCAATTTCTAACCAATGCAGCAAGATAATCAACATTTTTAGAGTCAATGTGTGTAATGTTAAAGGGCTGTTATGTAAACTGTAGTAGGAACTGCACATTAACAGGTCTTTCAACCAGGCTTCAACAGCACAAAGCGCACAGAGGAGAGTGCTACTTCCCTGATATCAGGCACAGGGTAAATGGCAGCACAATAGCAGGTTTCAGCTGGCTCTAATTACACGCTGCCATCTTGTTCTTTGGTTTATTTCACCAGTAGAGAGCCGTCATGCTCTTTAACTAGGCCTGTCTGCCTTCTGAATGGCAGGGTGAAATTATAAGCTGGCTATCTAACAAAGCGCTCTTAGAGACCTTGACATTTAGAATTTCAGATTGCTGAGCAACACAAACACTGCATCACATAGTCGTGGCATGTTTCTGCCACACAGAGCTTACAGTCTGGCACAAAATAGTCAAATTCTTGCCAATGGCATGTTTTAAAACAAAGGAATCGGTGGCTGGTAATTTATTTTGGCAGTTTTGTCTCACATGGCAAGTAATTATGTTTCTTTCATAGGGCTACAACAGAAGTGTCAGTAGTCAAAACACAGCAACATTAAACTTTTGTTGAAAGTAGGAAGCTAACCAGTACAAGCTACTCAGAAAAAGATAGATACACTGAAGCTATTTCACACCAAAAAACATCTCATGTTAAATGCACTCATGACTTTTGTGGTGTTATTATTTTATGACTTCCAAGATATTTGTTTTTTCAAGAGAAATCAAATATAGCAATATAGCATTTGGTAGCGCTTACACTTCTACTTAGTGGGGGAAAAAGCGAGCTCCTGGAAACATAGCTCAAGAAGTTAGCTACATCGTATTGAAAATAGATACATGAAAAAAGCAACATGATTTTAAACACGCTACTGGGAAGTGTACACTAGCATCACTCCAAGTAGATTTGCTTGCTACAGGCAGCACCTCTCCCCGTATCTGACTGGTTACTGTGAAAGTGCTACAGCTTTGATAGACATAAGAACTGTTGTGTGTCATTTTCCACATGCTATGAAAAACCATGACTCGACACTCCCCGTGTACAATAAGGCTTCAGGTCAAACATTTGTCGAGTGAACGTTGTCCATTATGTTTCTGAGAACTGTTGGAAAAACACTGAGTGGTTGTTTGCTTTTCAGCATGTGGAATTCTAAAAATAGCTTCAGAACATAAATGTCACTGATGGGGAGTGTTGGTGCTCGGGGCATTGCGCTGCCGGTATTCAAGAACACAACTGAGATTGTACTCAGTTACACTGCGCTCTTAGCCATCATTTCTTATGTTATCTGTCCTGAGCTGGAGTCATAATGTTAGTATACTTATTGGTCTTTATGCTACACCGATAAGCTCTGCTAAAAGCCATTACTGGTTGCTCACCCATTTGACATTTGAACAACAGCTGTTATAACAGAATTCCAAAGTCAGCTGCACTTGAAATCAGTACAATTAAAATAATCATCTAATATGTAATAACTTTAAAAAATAATAATAATAAAGAAGTGAAAACAAGCCTAAAACTTTGCAGATAAAATAATGAATGCGTTTACAAAAGTAGATTCAGGCCATTATCTTTAAGTGGCACATTTAAGTTGAAGCCCACGCTACAGAGCTAATGCTGCTGTTTATCACGCTGTCACTCATTTCTCATCGTAGAACAGGTCAGGTGGTTTAAATGTGTGTCAGGACCGACTGCGGCAACATAAACCACAGCTGACAGGCTATGTCAAGGCCGGATAAACCAAATGCATGAGATGCATGCTGAGAGCTTGTTTTCAAGGGCAGCTGGGCTATAATTTGGGAATGGTAAAGATGTGAATCAAAAAAGAACAGACGTTATTATACACCTATAGTTGTATTACATATTTTTCACTATAAATCAACTATTATTGTTTTGAGGTACTTGCTTAGATAGGAAAGACATTTTTACAGTCTTCATACGCAGTAGCGGGGATCAGCTGCTTAGAGCAAACAACTCCACTGTTGATCAAAGTCAGGAAGGCGACGGTGTCTGTGACAGCCTCAAACTAAATACACACAAAAACAAACAAAGGGCCCGTGAAACAAAAATCTATTGTTGGTTCATGTGACTAATATCTAATATACAATAAAACACAAAACGCCACCGAGCGGAGCGTCAGATGTTTCTGTGTACACAAGACACAGTATGCTTAAGGGAACAGTGTCAGGATGATTTTAACGTTGTCAGTGCATATATTACTGTTGTTGGGAGAAATTCTGAACACTGGAGTCAAACCACATTTGAATTACATCAAATAACGGACAATCGGCAATCTGAAGAAATCTGAGACAATGATAGGAAAGCTCTTAAGATGTCTGATTATTCCTCGCTTTAGAAGACAAAATAAGGGGGGGAAATGCTGTGAAAATGGCGGCAAGTGTGGACGAGATCAGTGCAGCATTACTGTGTGTTCAGACAGAATGCAAAGTGAATTTAGAAGCGGTGTGATTGCATACAAAGTCAATGTAAAGTTGAAAATGTCTCGACTTGTAAAACGTTTGCACGGACCGTAGAGCTTAATGCATCTGCCTCGCAAACGTACAGAGACGACAGGAAAAAGGAGAGAGACTGCAGGGGAATAACAGGAAGGATTGGAGTATCTGGTTTCTTGGAGTCAGAGGCTGAGCTGAACACAAGCACACAGGCACTATGCCCCAGACACGGGTTGTGCATCCACTTCTTGCTAGCTTACAGCTAACATAACGTCGAATGAAAATGACATCGAAACAGTCTCTGCTAATCGGTTAGGGCAGACTAACAACCTCTCCCAAACAGAAAATAGCTACCATAAACACAGACTGTATAATCTACTGAAATGTCTGATTATCTGAGTATGTACAAAAACTATGGGCATTGAGGGCAGGACAAAATCAGATTACTGAGCAGGTAGGTTTAAGACATTCCTCTTTGATAAAGCTTATAGTTAGGGCTGGATCAGGTGAGTCCTGAACCATCCCTTAGTTATGCTGCTATAGGCCTAGACTATCGGGGGATTTCCCATGGTGCACTGAGCTCCTCTCTTCCTCTCTCTTTCAGCACTCATTCATGTCCCATTAATGCATGTTACTAACTTCACTTCTTCCCCGGAGTTCTTGTGCTTTCTCGTCTCGCAGGTTCTCATGGATCCTGGTGGAGCCTCCTGCCATGGTCCTGCTTGACTGCCATTGCCAATATTACTGATATACCCCCACCTAGAGCCGAAGGATCTGTCCTAGGTGTCCAAGTGCTTGCTCATGGTGGTACTGTCGGGTCTCTGTACATAATGTTATAAGGAGTTCGGTCTAGACCTGCTCTATTTGAGAAGTGTCCTGAGATAACTTCTGTTATGAATTGGCGCTATTCAAATCAAATTGAATTGAATTGACCACCTGTGGTTTCAGAGTAATCAGATCAATGAAGTGTGTGTAAACCTGTGATCTGACTGGTTTCTAACAGTACCCTGGTGTCTACTGTGTAAGTAAATATAGTCAATAAGGTGGATGGTGCTCATTTATCATGTGAGAATGATTCTACCTTTTGTATTCTCTTGGAGTCCTTCGTGGGGCCTTCGCGTGGCGGGACTTTCCCAAACAGCTTCCACCCTGGATCCCTCTGCTCCACTAGCCGACTGTCCTTCACCCTCCTAGCAAACAGGCTCCTGAAAGACGAGTGGAGAGGGGGATTAGAATAAATTAGGTCATTATACCACATAGTGAAAAGTGGAACACAAGCTATGAGCTCGGCCTTCACTGGGTCCCCGCTGGGGCCCCCAGAGCTGCATTAAGTGTCTGAGATAAGCTCACAAAAGGGATCTGTGGATTGAAGAGCAGAAGTGTAGAGGACCACCCAGAAAGAATATTAACAACCTGTGTGACATCATGTGAGCTGGCAGGCTGGCCACAGTCATGGGGCTCATAAAACTAGGTGTAGAACCCATTACACAGCAACACCAGCATGCTACATGCAGGAATAATCGACCATTATGGCTGCTAAAAAGACTGCTGTCATTGATGATCCTTCCACTTCATCTAACCACTAGACCGTCTGCTCGGACTCAAAAATCACCCGCATGCTTGAAATCAGCTGATGTTCAAACACCACACGCAAAGCTGCTGGAAAGACGTCGTCCTTTCAGCTGGGTTCACTGTACCATTTAGCCAGCCATTCCTTCCTTTCATGCATCAGTGTGGTGCTGTCACAGAGCTGTTAGCAGCGGCTTTAATTAAAAGCCTGAATAGAGGCTAGTTGTGAAAAGACATGAATAAACTGGTCAAATAAAACGCCTCCTCTGACCAGGCCATGTGACATGACAGAGTAAAGAACTGTGACATCAAAGAGGCCATATCCCGCCGGACGTCTGGGCTGAATCTCATTGAGAGGCAACTCACCATGGCAACTGCCTTATCCAACTGATCAATAGGAAATATTTGCTGTATCAGTTAACTTTTGTGTTTAATAGGTTGTGTTGATATTTGTCCTAAGTGGACCTTGGAGAGGTGGAAAGGAGATCTGACTACATGAGTTGTCTCTGTTTGATCAATTTGACCTTTTACCCGCAGCGTGTGCGACCTCTCTGGGTTACCTCCAGGGTACTGATGACAGGCAACATGCCGCCAAACACAGAACAGACACAGCTTCAGGCTGGAGGGCATCTTCTACTCGCAGCTGAGCGTGTCTGCTGCAGTTTGTTTGTTTTGGAGACGGCTGTCATCATCAAGACATGTGGCCTTCTGCTGTGCTCATGAATAACTTGCTGAAACCAAATTATAATAGTGCAGAAGTTGTTGGAGAGCCATACAAAGGGTACATTTTGTTTCTTGCTATGAATTTGGAGTTGGGACTAAAGTGACCAGATTCTGACAAAATTGGGAACAACCTCCTTATTTTCTGTCGACATAGTCAAAATGACACTAACTAGCTAAAAGGAACTAAATATCACATATTAATGATTCATTGTTTTTGAATTCTGCATCATCTCTGTAAATAATAAAATGTGTATTTTTAGGGTAGCTACACCAAATCACACATAGCAGTGGCGCCTCCCTGCCACTCATTGCTGTTTTTTGGCCTGTGCTCCATGATGGAGCCACCAATCAGACCATACAGTTTATTACCGTCTGCCCCAGTCTCAACAGCACCAGCCTGTGGGACCATTTAAGCAGGCAACTTAACGCGCTCGGCCACAGAAAGACTTTCAGTTATGTATAGTCATTACAAAACGTAAAGATTTAAGTGTCCCAATAACTTCAAATTACATTACTTCTTGTATTTTTTGGGTCTTTTTTTGGAATCTTGCCTTTATTCTGTCATGAGAGCAGAGATACAGACAGGGAGAAGTTCAAGGAGAGGGGGAGGGCTATCGTATTTAAATATGCTAAGAGGCTTCACCTTGCAGTACACGCTGCCTCTGTTGTTGAATGTTCATTGATTAACGCTGTATCTCAGCAGCAGTTACTGCTTACGCTTCAGGGTTATTTATCAATGATTGGAGAATAGGGCTGCAACTAACAATTATTCTCATTATCAATTAATCTGATGATTCTTTTCTAGAGTAATGTATTAATTGTTTGGTCTATAAAAAGTCAGAAAATAGTAACAAATGTCCATCCCAGTTTCTCAAAGTTCATGGTTACTTCTTTAAATTGTCTTGTCAGTCCAAATCCCAAAGAAATTCCGTTTAATATGATAATTAATGGAGAAAAGCAGGAAATCTCAACATCTGAGAGGCTGAACATTTGCATAGTGATTAATCTATTATCAAACTGGTTCTATTGTTTGTTGCAGCTCTATTGGAGGACAACAATTCTTAAGTAATGACAAATGCAGGACGTTACTGTTGTAAAGAGATGGTCAATAACACAATGGAAAGATGCTACTGGTCCTAAAAATTCTAAAAACTAGTAATAGTAATGCCACTGTGCTGACTGTTGCAACCCAGTGCAAACCAATGTTTGTACAACTCTATAAAATGTGTTTTTTGGCAAAATGTTTTGAAATAAGAGTCTGAACGATCAGGTGTATAAAATAATCCAGCTTTATGTAAGTTAATGCAAGATAAAGTCCTAGACAAGCTGATTAAGCAATGGCTGACAAAATACAAATACAATAGTCCATTACAGTGTGACTGGTCAAAGTCAAACATCCGGACCAGCTGTGCACAGGCTGCTGTGATCACTAATGAAACTCACCACAGATACACATTAACCACATTTCTCTACCGTTTGTGAGGACATCACTTTATCAGTGCAATTTTTGCCTGGTTCCCCACGGCAACCTGTAAACAAAATGACAACAACCAGTTTTTTTTTTTCTGCCCCCTAACTAATTCATAAGAAACTAGTGACAAGTCACACAAAACAGAGACAAAATCTAGGTTTGAATTTCACAAAAAGGTATGAATGTTCACCGTCAGTGAGCCAGCACGCCACCTGAAACATTATTTACTTTCCAGTGGCAGCAGTTCACTCTTGCCTCTCTCATAGTGGCACGTTCCACGTCAGTCCTGCATATTTTCCACTCTGCTTACTGATACTGCAGTGCACAAAGATAACACATGCAGTGGGAGGTATTTCCTCATTCTGTGGCTAACTCGAGGGTTTAATGAAGAAGTTGAATGGCAACACGGACATTAAAGGCCAGCACATTTAACTCTTCTTCTGACAGACTGTGAACACAGTGCAACACGCAGTAATGGTGTTCCATCAGTGACATTTAAGCTTATTCGGCTGTTATCAGAACAGTACAGGGAAAACACTGAACAGATCAAGCAACTGGCAGCTTCGGGAACAACGTTTCTTTGAAAGGTAACTGTAAAATGCTGCTCTACAAGTGTCAGGCGCTTCACGTCTTCCAACATTTCTCACATGTAGAGCTGCTAAGGGAAGCTCTCATTTGATAGTGGAAATATCTGCTGTAATCAAAGTAACCAACTCCAACAGCAGCACATAAAAAAGGAAGGAAACATTCTCTTACATTCCACAATGAAGACAAGGCATGAGGAAAAGGATGGAAATCTGATCTAAAGAGAGAACGATAATAGAAAGAAGAGGTTGCTTTTATCAGGGCATTTAACTCCACTTATCGCAGTCTTCGTCAGCAATAAGACAAGTTCATGACCCATGCACTTGTTATCATGTGTTGTAATGAGACCAAAGTTTGATACTGAGGTCACATGATGACAACTGAGCAAACCCCATCCGCCAAAGAAGACTATGTGAGGCAGTTGAAAGTTCTGGCTTGAACCTTATGTAAGAGCTTAATTAAAAGTACCATTTCCAAAGTCAATAATGAACTTTCAAGCTAAACCAGAGAAGTATTCATTTGGTAACATAACATAAATATATTCATTTTTGAATTGCAATACAGGGGTTACCATTCAATAGATTGCCTGTAAGCAAGTCAATATATTGCAAATTTGAAAAAAAACAAAAATCTTAAATCTAAACTCTTAAAGTATAAAAGGACACATCACCATATGCATAAAATCTGAATTCTCAGTCACGCTCACATCCAACATCCTAGTCTTCAGTTTACGTTTACAGCAATGCTATCTAGCTGTTGGGGGTTTAAACACAAATGGATAGAGTGTTTGAGAATCAATACAATATCACTGTAACCAGGCTTTGAAATACAGGCAGTGATGAACTTGAGTAACCCTGTGAGCCACTATAAAACAATGCTGCATAGATTGAAGTGCAGAGGCCAGCTGAGTGCCACCTTTACAAAACAAGGCCTGACTTTAAGTCTCGACTTGCAACACATTTTTCCAGCACATCAGCAATCAGACGATCATGTTTTCAGCTTCCATGTATGCCACCAAACAAATGGCCACAATGCAGGAACATGATTTGCATTCAGTCCGGGCCAAATGTGCCTCAACGTGACATCTGAATGGCTGCGGCTATGGCCGAGTGCTCAAGTGGAACAGCTAGAAAATCCAAGAGGGCTGGCAGAGGTGCTTGTTTATACGTTGAATTCATGCTGAGGCTTTGCACTGCACTGGTTTGTGGCCAAGTCTCCCAAGAATATTAGGATTTCACAACGCTTGTGTGTGAAAATAAGGTGATAAGTTGTTCCCAGTAGTTCATACGCATCAGCTAACAATGAAGGCACCTGGCACAGAAATACCAAACAAGCTACTACAAGACAAGGAAAGGCCGATTGCAATGAGTTTGTCCCCATCGTAAAAGACAGCAGTGAGCAGGGCGTAGAGCTGCTGCAAGATGTTTTTAGAACAGTCAAACAGAACACACTGAATCCAATCGGCTGCCTAGCACAAAAGCCACATTATTCAACTTCTGGACAAATCTGTTGCTTGCTGGCACACAAAAGACAGGCAGAAATTAACAACTGCAGGCCATACATGTCAACCATAAAAGAAATCTTTCATGTCATCTGCTGGTTACCCTACCTGTCAATGTACAGAAGAAGTGATGGGGTTGCCATTCTGCTCTGTCAAAACAAACCCTTCTCCCCCCAAACAAAAAACAAAGAGGAACAGGCACCTGGAGGTTGAGCTTTTAAAGAAGAGTAAATAAAGGAGAACAAAAACTCCTGATGATGTCAAAGCCCTCCTTCAGTCAAGATCTAAGCTCATGACTGTTAGTTTTAGTTAGAGAGAGGGAAAAAAGTCGTGCTCAGCCACCATGTTCAGCTAGAGTGAGCCTGTGGAGGAACAGGCGACGAGTGGCCTGCCTTAACAAATGGGAGGGGAGGAATGGGAGGAATGGCTGTGAGTTGAAGGAGTCGGAAGGGCACTGAGGGAATGAGTAACTTCTGCATGTGAGGGAGGAGGGATAACAGAGATAGATAAGTGGAATGGTAAAGGGGAGGGGGAGTCAAAGGAGGTGCTGCCATTTAACATGTGATGTGTCACACTACATCTAATTGATTGATTTAATCTATAATCCATTACTGTCAACTAAATAGTTTGCGTGAACAGCCAGGGACACCTTTTCTGACATTTTAGAACCAGGTTCAGTTTGTGAGGATGTTAAAATTGAGCAAAATGAATTGAAGTAGAGGGTATGCATCGGTGTCACTTTTCAAATGACCCACCACCACTGAATGGCCTGATGAACGTGTGACAGACAGGACAGTAATCTGGGAATGCCTCAATGTTTCATACTGTAGCAGCACCTTTTCACATCGGACAATTCATTTCTAGTGTTAATCAGTGTAGTTACTATTATCTTTAAAAAAGTGATTACATTACTAATCACTCAGCAGCAAAAGTATTTTGTTGCATTACTTGTTACTTTACTTTTGTTACTTAGTCCGAAGATGCCTTGAAACAACTCCAAGTGCTCCGCACCCACACGCCGCATTTTCTGTATTTACATGTGTAGAAATAGAAAAGGAGACAAGTAGGCTGTCAGATTGGAGGTATTTACCATCCATTAAGAGATAGCTTCACCTCAGTGAATGCTCACAGCTCCCCGGACGTCCCTCAGCTCACACACCCTCCACTTCTGAACAAAACTAGGTGATTCCTAAATGCAGGCATACGCGTGGCTAACGCTAGCAACAACATGGGAATAGAACAAGTTTTTTTTTGGGGGGGGGGGTCACAACATTTAGTGGGTATCATTTTTACCATGTACATAATCTTAGTTTAGCAGTTTAGTAATATATACCATGTGTATAATCTTGGTTTGCTAATTAGCATTAAACAAAGCGCAGATGAGGCTTATAAATCAAATGTTTGATCCAAACTTTGACCTGCTGGTTGTGCTAGGTTTTCATTTTTTATAGATTACCCAGCTCTTTAATTCTATAATTATGGGTTTTAAAGCACTCCGTAGGTCTTACAACCTTGAATCATGGCCAATCTACACACACACACACACACACACACACACACACACACACACACACACAATAAAACAACACAGCAGGCATCAGGTTACAGCTGTGAAAAGAATTTTCTCGCAGCCTGGTCCAAAAAAATAAAAAAATAAAAGTTTGACTGCTAAATCCTCTTTTCTATTCATTGAAGGAAAACTCTGCTCCTCAATATGAAGTGGAACGTGGCAGAGCAGGAAAGGAAAGGAAAGGTCGACTTGATTTTTTTTGTGGCAAAACATAATCAAGGTCAGTGAGTGTGAAACCAACTTCAAGGAACTTCAAACTAACTTTGCCGAGTACTCAAAACAATTTCAACATACTCCTACAGTAGGCTGTGCTATAAACTCATCATGAGTCATTATCATTCATCAATACAGCAACAGCAAAGCACATATAAATGAGGAGTCTTACTGGGTACTTCAAAACTGATAATGAGGGCTCTTGTGGCAACTTGCAAGGCTTTGTTTGATCAATAGGTTGACCTATGACCTAGTAGCCTGCTGCTCTGTTCCGCTCTGCTCTTATTGCTTTTGGTGTGCTTACTGTTTCCTTCAAATTTCTCTCAAATTTTTTATATTTTTTGGTAGATATATTTTAAAACACTGTGTGGCTAATTGCCGGGCCACAGTTGGTCAAAACATTAAAGTAATCACAGACTGGATGGGGTGCAGCAGCAGCATCAATATCTGAACAGCAGAAGACCCCTTCTGCTTTGCCTGCAATACACATAGCTGTTTAAGAGGAGGAAACACCACACCCCAAATCATTACACACACACACACACACACACACACACACACACACACAGTATTGGGAAGTAACACTTCTCAATAGCATGACAGTACTGTCTTAGACAGTGCATCAGCGTGGTACCCTAGAATACTTCAAAGCAAACTCTGTGGTGCAGTATGGTTTTCTAGCAGGATGTTCCTCAGCTCAGATGGTGATGCTGTGATCTGGGTTAATGGGACAACCTGGTTTCATCAAGCAGGTTTTATTGGTGTGTTCCTGTGTTGAGCTCTGTTATTGATCTTCCTGTCCTTGCTTTGAGACAAGCTCTTCTTAATGAAAGCCAGTTCAGTGAAGTGATACTGCAGCGAGAATAAGCACAGCCTTCACCTAAACTTTACTAACGTTAGCAGAGGAGAGGGTCATACTCTGGCTGAGCTGTACTACGCAAGACTGGTGGGAGGGGTCAGAAGGATGTCTTGGTTAAGTAAGGTTTGTAAAGCAACTTTGAGCAAGGCCTCCAACCAACAGTCTGTGTTGAGAGGAAGTACAGAATGTATACTTCTCTCACTGAGGCTGTCTACAATGTTTCCTTTTTATTTCCGACCACTCATAGCACAACATTTATTAGAAAATAAATGTATTATCTGTGTGTTATAGATATATATGTATATTATAATAAAAATTTTTCTCATTTTGTATTGTGGTAAGGAAATACTTCTGAATTTATTTTTAAACTACAAAAATGTGAAATGATCTGTTGTCTCATCGTTATTGGCAAGACTATCAGGAAATACTCCGTCATCGCTGTCAATGTATGTTCAGTGTATGACTCACTGGAAGGGCCATTTCTTAAATAAGTTTTGGTTAGGATAAAAAAACATGATTAACGCCTGTGTTGACAAAGTCAAAAACAATGAATGATGATGACATAATAAAGAGTAGTGAGCTGTGTGTTTCTAGTCTGAGACAAGCTAAACAACCACCTAAATACCCCTGTAGATATTATTCTCCTTTAAAAGACGGACATCTGAACTTACTTGTTGAATAAGCTTGCTAGAGGTCCCAGTTTCTTTTGCCTGCCATCCTCTTCCTGTTGCATGACACCTGACAGTGGATACGGTCTTACAGGACTCCATAAGTCTCTTCCCGGCGATGATGACAGCGTTACGTCCGAGAAGTGAGCGGCGCCGCTGTCGTCCGTCTCTAGGGTAACAATGGCGCTGGAGTCAGAGGTAACGGTGAAATCCAAGATGTCTTCATTAGAGACCGACAGCTCGGTGCTCATGCTGGACGCACTGCACACGGATATGTCATCGCTGCGGTTTAATGCTCCGCCCCCGATGCTCATCCCCGTGGTGGCGGATAATCTGAGGGCAGGGCTGAAATGGCGGATGGAGTCGTACCCGCTGCGGGGGAAGGTAGAGGACTTGCGGATGGCGTTGCCGTCAGAGGGATCATCGTCTAAAGGTAAAGTGGCAGGAGAGTCGTGCCTGGAGTCCAGGATGAGGCCTCCGTCACCTGAGCGTTGGTGGCTGTGGAGGATGGGCTCCGGAGGGTTGATCTCCAGAGTTGGGATACCAGAGTCCTGGGAAGACAAGCTGTGGCTGTCCTGGTTCAGGTCCGAGTAGCTTTTCTGGGGGCTGCTGTAGTAGATGGGGGTAGAGGAGCAGGACGGCTTGTAAGTGGGCAGGACGGGCTCGCTGTGCAGGGTTGTGCTGGGTTCATTGCAGTGGTGGTTGGTATAATCGCGGAGGTCAGAGGTAGTCGGGTCCTTCACTACACAGCCATTCTCCACTATGGCTCCTCCAGACACACCTTCAACAGAACAGGACATGCAATTATTATCAAACTTTATTTGTATAGCACTTTTCCTGGTTAGTGCTTTGCAGATGAAGCTCAGAAGACTTATCAAATTACTTTTTTTTAATCATGTCAGGGTGCATTTATTACATTTGTTAGGACTCAATCATGCATTTTGGTGAGAAATACTGTATGTAAATATCACGTTTTACCTTTAATTCTTCAGCTATCTAATGTATGCATTATTCTTATTGTGTTTCATGCGATTTTATGTTTCTGCATTTGCCTTCAGGTACCACTGTTCTTTGCTTGGGCTCTAGAGAAATGTGATCAAGGCTAATTACCAACTGAGCAAAGTGGGACCAGGGAGGTTCACCATCTGGCAATTAGTTTGTGGTCGTTGGAGTAATTGCTGATTTGTTTGGTAATATTGTATCCACCAAAGAAGCACAATATAAGGTGACAATATTATGCAATATTAAGTTCTCTGAGTTAGATAATCTTGTGCTGGTGGATATTTCTAAATAAAAGTCACCACACACTAATTTGAAGTACTAAGAAAATCTTAATTTGGGAAACAAGCCAATAAACTACCATTTATAAATAGGGAATCAAAAAACAGAATAGGTTGTTTTTTGTTTTTATTTCCAAAAACCTCATTTTCTATTTTTTTCCCCCGTTTATAAATGGTAGTCAGGAAACAGCTTGTTTCCCGATTTTGGTTTTCGCATTTCAAAACGAAGATCTGTTGGCTGCAAAGTACACTGGCCCACAATGCAGAGAAGGAGGGGGAAAGGTGGGGGTCAGCAGGGCCACCTCGACGGTTAATCCGGTCCCGATTGTGACAGCCCTTTTCACAATTTTTTGACATTTAATAGAATACAAGATCAACTTTAAAAACTACAAACTGAAAACGGCAGCTCTGCTAAATACAATATTATTAAAGGATTATTCTAACCGACCAGGGCATCAGAGAAAATGGGTGTGGAAGCCTTCAGAGGTGAAAACTAATCCCACAGTAGCCAGGCTGTAACTGGAGTCAGTGTTGTAATGTGAACAGGGCCCCAGTAGGTCCACATCACGCTTTAACACCAGCTGGGGAAGCTAAGCTAAAGCTAGTGTGTCTAAGCTCTCAGGCTGCATTAACAGAGCTGCTGAGTCCCGTGGACACAGACATATGCAGTCTGTCTGTTACAGTTAGAATTTCATGAATCCTCGTTGCTTTAGTTACTAACAGCTAACAGCTCGCAAACATCATAGTGTTCGTCCTATGTGGTGGGGGTTTTTACGACAGGAAATAGAGTTTGTGCCTGCTCACATGGGCACTGAACACACACTTGTCTTTTTATAAAGACATCTAAAATAAGGTGAAATAAATTAAAATAGGGAGGCATCAATAACACACTTTTAAAGGCAAATCCTAACACGGAGCCTAATGTTTTCCAAGTGGTTGACACACAAAGCCAGATTCTTACCCAAGCTCTAAACCCTGACCTGCAGGTTGTCATGTGAGCCTGGTACACTTTGTCCCATAACACAGCAACAGGTTGTCCCTGTGCCACTGTGGAAATAATATACAACCAGAGGTCACCAGTAAATGCCAGAATTGGTACAAACTCATCACTAATATTACTATGCTGTTGAAAAACTGCCGTCCTTGTTTGAAATGTAAAAATAAAAATGCAATGTCACTCATCGGGTTTTAACCATTAGCATGAAAACTTATTGGCAGTAAACTGGAAGGCCACGCCAACCTAGGCATGCATGCTCGTGTTATTATAAGTCATGGACTGCTGTTATTGTCTAATTGACTGTGCCACCCATTTTTGAGTACACACACAGATCTTGTTCAGCGAGTCATGATATTGATATCAACAGGCATGAGGAAATGCAACATCAATTTCATCTTAGGTAGGATAACATCACAGATTCTGAAATGTGTGCAAACGCTTTTCTTAGAAAGTGGTTGTCGGTTTGGGCAGAGACACAATACACATTTCTGAGGGGCACTTCTTCAGCCAAAGTCTGGAATGCATGGTGTGATGCATATAATACAGGGAACATGACATACAAACATGTTCTGACAGCGTGGTCCTCTGGTCGATATACATTCAGGAGACTCTTTTTAAGTCAGCTGTATTAGGTTTTAACAATATAAAACTTTGAAAATAAATATATAATAATGATATAAACAATATTTCATGGTATTTTTAATGTTCAGGACTAAACACTTCCTCGATACGGTCTTATAAATACATCTAGCAGGATGGGGGTGAACAATTAACAAGTCCTACTAGATAAAGGTTTGTTGTTATGTTATCTGTTATGTGTCATGGTTTATTATTAATTGTGGGGTTTAAACTTTACCTCAGCATGTACCACTTGATACTTTAACTGTGTTGTAGACTGTATTCTGGCCCAATTAAAGACTGGGTTCTAACAATTCAGAAAGGTAAAAGTTTAAATTGTACCTCACCTTAGGTATGTTAACTGCATGTCGAATTGAAGACTGGTTTTAAATAATTCAAAAATGTTATGTGCCATGGTCTATTAGCTGTGTAAATGTATAATATCAGAGATCAGAGGCCGTATTTAACTTTAACCCTTTTTGAATGCAGTTTGGCTTGACCTGTGATGTTACCAGGGATAACAGCACAAACAGTGAAAGGGCAGTTTATGTGGTGTGTGTGTTAACCATAATAATAATAATACATAGCTAGACGTGTGACAGCATATTGTAGTCACCTACCACAGCGGCTGCCTCTCCGGTCCTGGGTACCGAGGGTCGTGTTCGCCATGCTGCCGACTGATGCTACAGGTGGGTGGCAGGTAGCCGCCGACCGGGGCGGTCCATGATGATGCTGTGACTACTGCTGTACCACCATCACTTCCCTGCCTCCTCAACGGAGCTTCAGTGTACACAAACAGCACCAGTGTAAGGTCATTTGTCGGAACACACACATAAATTCACCTCAAGACGAAAACAAAGGGAGGCGGGTAAAACACAAACACCACGTCGAACCGGACTTGCCAAGTGCACTTGCCGCTGACGCCAACTCACTGATTTTTACCAGCGCTTCCTCAAGTGAAACCAAATGAAGTTAAAATGCGGCAGACATTTTTTTTTTTTGCTCTGACGGCATCACTGCAGGAGAGGAAACACTTCTCCGGTGTTTAACGAGTTACACGAACAAGCACATTTCACAAGTTTATCCGGTATCGTTAACGTTTCATACCTGTCTCGACGCTTCCGCCGCCATTTTAAAACAAACTTGTGCCGTGAGTGCTGTGTAATCGAGTCTAGAATGTTCACCGTCGATGGATTCACCTGTCTGGACCTGAAGGCATTAATAATCGACCTCGCAACCTGAGTACCGACAGACTGACGTTATGAAGAGGTTTTGGTGAGAAAAGTTTATCTCAAAGAGTTCAAGTTGTTACATGAGATTTCCAATGTGTTATAGCTCTCGTTAAGGTTTAAAACATTGTACCTGTATTCGTATAATAACGAGGATTTCCATTTTCAGGCTCAAAAATATCCTGCGTAGATAAGAGGAACTCTTCCCTCTTCCTAATTGGGCAGTAAAATGTCTTATTGACTGACACTGATTCCAGGTCCTGGCCCACCTGCTCAATATAATTCGAGCAAACTGTATTTAAAAAGCACCCTTTGTGCAGTTGAATGTGTTTAACAGGTGACTGACATAAATCATACTGATTTGTATTTTATGGCAAACTTTGGAATTACATCTATCAACGCAAAAGGTTGAAAACAAAGTATGCAAACTGTGCAAATTTCATTCCAGTAATCTCATTATTCCAATCTCTAGTGTCACATTTCCAATATATAAGCACAATATATCAAGATATGTCAGATACATAAACCTATTTTTATACCCTCAAAAAGAGCAAGTGACTCGTATTATTTCATTACAACCTATTAGATTGTCTATAGACAGGTACATACAATAAAATATAAGAATTTAAATGTTTCTTAAAATGTTTAAAGCTATTACTAAGATATTATTGAGCATCAACAGAAAGAGTGACTAAAGCCTGATGTGTGACGTGAGTAATGGAGCTGGCTGTTCCTGTTACAGCATCCTCACCCTGCCCCCTAGTGTCACCGTGAGGATATGGATTTAAAAGGTAAAGCTTCCTCTAAGAGTTGTCACCACCTGAGCAAACACACTAAATAAAACAAAGATAAGAAGCAAAAAAAAAAAAAAAAGACAGAGGATCACAGGCTGAGGTTTGGTTTATTCCTTTATTAGATGTTAAGAAAATCCACAATGAAACAAAATAATTTACTCAGGGTGTACATGAAATTAGAACAACAGAGCTACTCGGGACAGATGGGATTTAGGAACATAGAGGAACAGAGGAGGGTGAAGGAGCATCTAGGTGGGAATGAAAAGACGAGGAAAACTCAAGTTTTCAGTGCTGGATATGTTCTTCAGACCACAGTGCAATCGAAACTCAGCGACCCTTTCGGTGTCATTCCAAATGCATATATCCTCACTGAATGCATTTTCTCGTCATACTTTTTTGATTTTATTTTTTTAACCACTACCTATCAAAATGGAAGAATTAAATGGAGAAAGGTGTGATGCATTCCTTTCGACTCCCATCTAAGTGCCTTTTGTGACTTAGCTTCACTCACTCACAGATTCACACATGCGCACTCATAACATTCTTTCAATCAGATTTAACCTCACTTGTATTTTTTTTTTTATTAAACCAAAACATTTTGTTTAATCCAACATAAAAAGATGGAGTGTGATGTTTGCATGCTGCATTTTCAGAGACATTCCATGTTTTGTCTTCTCCCACTCTCTCTCTCTCTCTCTCGCTCTGGTGTCCCTCACTCAAAAGTAACATGCAAAATTAACTGAATGACTTTTCTCCATATATTCTTGAATGTTTACATGCGCCAAGGTATTGCATAGGACTCAGGGCTATGGAATTCCCCTCCACATTGCTTATGCAACCTACAATGGCTTACTTCTTTTTTTTTTTCTCTCCTAAAACTATAGCTCTAAATTACTGACAGTCACCACTGTGGTTTGCTTGGAAAGAACTCCTGTCAATAATTTCTGCTCTACAATCAAAGAAAGGTTTTACATTAATGCATCAATGCACTGTCACAGGTCTGAGTGTAGATTATGCAGTATGCTTGTATTAAAAAATTCCTGAGTGTCCGATGACTGTCAAAGAAAGGTGACAAGACCCTGAAGTTGGAGTAACTTTCATTCAGCTATTGGGGGGGTCCTTTTTCAATTGAAGTGGCATTGGACTGAACAAACCTTTACATACAATCTTTGCATTTTTTTTTTAATAAGGAAGCCATTTCCAAAAGCCATGCCCGCAATAGAGACACCTTCACCTGCGACAGTGCATTACAGCGAGTCTGCTCACACTGCTTACATATTTTTAATTGCCCATTAATGGAGGGATTATTTTAGTTATCTGTGCTTCAGTTTCATGGTATCATGTGACAAACTAGTCACCCCATCCTCATAACCTGTTTGAAAAATAACAAAGAGACAAAAAAAAAAAACAGCAGGCAATAAGAAATGCATTTATCTGCAGATGCTTCAGCTCAATTACATTTTCAAAGCACAGGTCACAAGAAGGGCCGGTCCAACCACACCTCAAAAGGTTCTATAGCTAACTTGCTCAGGTGTGTTTCAATTTTAGGGGGCACTAATGCATTTGCGTTTTTGTGAATGTACAGTATGTCTCTGCGTACATTCACATTTCTCTGAGATAAAGTTCTAGTACACTCATTCTGAACCAGTGCCTTCACAAGTTCTGTTGCCAAACACACACACACACACACACACACACACAAACACAAACACACACACATAGTGAGACATTACTCAATATTTCAACAAGATATATTGTAAACCAAAAAATAAAAACACACCTCATATGGAAAAAAAAAAAGCATTTGTACCTTAGTGTAATTATGCCATGTTTTTGGTTTGACCATTCCCCCCCCCCCCACTTGTTTTGTTATATTTTTGTTAACTTGCAGCATGGACAACTAACCATCAATCAATGCTGACTTTGTCCTTTCTGCTTGGGGACAACGAATTGAAACGATGTGTAGAAACGTGAAACGTTTAAATTTTGAACTGTTAAAGGCCTCACCACTAAGAGGTTACCTTAAAATAAAAGCCAAGCCACATTAAGCAACTGCGATCAGGCAAAAACTTTTTTCTCCTTTTAACAATTTTTGCAAAAAGATATTCATGGAGTCTGACTGTGTGGACTACAAACAAAACTAGGCTATGTCGTCTACTTATCACAGCCATATTATGGAACTGCAACTTCAAAAAGATTTTTGAACATATTTATAGCACCAATAGTCTGTACCATAAAAATTACAAAAAAATAAAACAAAGTTTCATTCAGTTGCAACACAGGTGTCTGCAGAAATGGCTGTAGTTGTCTTTTCATGATGGGTCTTTACCCCAAAACACAAACTTTTTTTCTTTTTTTCCCCCAATTCTTTTACAGCATTGCATTTCAAGTAGATTATTAGTATTTTTTTCCAACAAAACTCCTTTTGATTTCCTGTTTTTTTATTTTTAATGGATTTTTTTTATTTAGCCTCACAAACCATACTATGTCTACTACTAGCTTTTGTAAGACTATCACCATTCAAAAATCAGACTCATTTATGATAACTTTTCACACATGGGGAATTTAGGGATATTTAGAAGAAAGCTGCACACATTCTCTACTTCACATTCAGAAAGTCGTCCAAACAAACTATTTAAATTAAACTCTCAAATTCTTACACAACTCAAAAACCTCAACATCCTTGTATTATCTTTCTGAACACAAGATGGAAAGTAGAGGATGCGATAGCAGTTGTTTCATACAACGTTAGGTTCAACTAGAAAAAGAAGAGTGAGACTGGCTGGACAAACGCACATGCACAACCATTCAGACACCACCAACTACCAGTATCCTAGTTCAAAAGCAAAATGGTGGGAACAAAACTGACAAGGATAGAACAAAAGATTGTCCCTACTACCTAACAGTGAGACTTGAATGAGGACCAGTGTACAGAAGAATCAAATGAAACAAATTCTAAAATGCGTAAAATGCATGTCCGCACATGGCATCACTCAAAGACAGAACATATTTTTTGAGTTTTCCTATTTTCACTCACTTTTTGTTGATCTGATTGATTACACAAGGTTTTTAAGTTAGTAAATGAAAACCAGCAGGGTTATGTGTGGGGTTTTTTGGAGGGGTGTCTCAGAAAATGATCCTACATTAGGTTTTCCAGCTCTGAGATGACCCTGAATCTTTGCTGGTAGAGGTCCAGTCCCAAAAGAAGAAGAAGGTTTCCTCTCTACGTCAGGTGTCCTCTGCACAACTGGAGTATTCAAATGTTGCTGCTCCCTGGAGAAAGAAGTCAGGCCAAATGGTTAGATTGTTGCACACATAAATATCCATTCTGCCTCTGACTGCTCACTGTACTATAGCTTCCTTTACCTCCTGCATCTGTATTTTCTAACATGCTCTAGACAACCATTTTAGACACTTCACTGCTGTGACCCTTCACAACCTAAATAGGAATTTCAGCTTGATTGCCACTGCAAATGCTTTTTTGTTTTTGTTTTTTTAATCAAAATCACTTAAGTTTGATAGCTGTTACCAAAAATGGGGATACTGTGTAGATGGCTTACATATTTTGGTGGCTGTGATAGCTGGTGGCCAGTAGCATATAGGTCTGTCTCTAGAATCTCAATATTTGGCCAATCCACTGGTCTCTCTTCCCATGAGCAACTAGTTTTGTGTCATGAAAACTGATAATTTGAGGAGCAAAAAAAAAAAAAAAAAAAGCAAGCTGGCAATGTTATTAGCAGATAACGAAAGCATGACATTAAGTTAACTTATCTAAAGAAAGAAAGAAGATATACTTTATTAATCCCCTAGGGTAAATTGTTCTTTTCACTCTTTTTTTTTTTTTTTTTACACACACACACACACACACACACACACACACACAGGCTTGGGGTTAGGTTGCCTTGCTCAAGGGCACCTCGGCAGTGCTCAGGAGGTGAAACTAGCACCTCTCCAGCTACCAGTCCACACTCCATATTTTGTGGTCTGTGGGACTTGAACCGGCGACCCTCCGGTTCCCAAGCCAAGTCCCTACACATCTAGATAATGATATTTCCTTCAATGGATGTTTCACTAAACTACCTCGTATTTATAGATTTAAGTGTTGCTCCTGAGTATGAAACAGGAGTATGTACTATATACCTTGTTACTCTATCTACTGTTCTACAGTTAATGATCGGCAATATACCACAGTGGAAGTTCACGCAGTTAAT